CCCAAGGATGGGAATTTGGGATGGAATCGTCCCTGGATCAGATCAGATCAGTTCAGATCAGATCAGATCAGATCAGATCAGATCAGATCAGTTCAGATCAGATCAGATCAGATCCCTTGTGCTCCTGAGGGAGGATGGGGACAGTGAGCAGCTCCCTGAGCTTCCCAAGGATGGGAATTTGGGATGGAATCGTCCCTGGATCAGATCAGATCAGTTCAGATCAGACCAGATCAGATCAGATCAGATCAGATCAGATCAGATCAGATCCCTTGTGCTCCTGAGGGAGGATGGGGACAGTGAGCAGCTCCCTGAGCTTCCCAAGGATGGGAATTTGGGATGGAATCATCCCTGGATCAGATCAGATCAGATCCGATCCGATCCCTTGTGCTCCTGAGGGAGGATGGGGACAGTGAGCAGCTCCCTGATCTTCCTGAGGAAGGGAATGTGAGATGGAATCCTTCCTGGATTGGATCAGATCAGTTCAGATCAGACCAGATCAGATCAGATCAGATCAGATCAGATCAGACCCTTTGTGCTCCTGAGGGAGGATGGGGACAGTGGGCAGCTCAGGGAGGATGGGAATGTGGAATGAAATCCTCCCTGGATCAGATCAGACCCCTCGTGCCCCTGAGGGAGGATGGGGACAGTGAGCAGCTCCCTGAGCTTCTCAAGCATAGGAATTTGGGATGGAATCCTCCCCAGATCAGATCAGATGGGATCCCGAGGGGCTCTGCAGTGTCAGCACTTTCTGGAGTGTTTCCCAAAGTGCCCTTCGGGTGGTTCCAAGCACATCCTGGAGAGCTGTGGATAACAGGGATGGCTGCCTGCCCAACCCAGGAAGCACCTGAGGTTTCCTGGGAGCCCAGCCCGGCTCTGTTCCCTCCTCAGCTCTGTGTCCAAATCCTTGGGATGCCTTTTTTCCAGAGGACTAGGACACAGCCAGGCAGAGGGACAGGTTGGATCCCATTCCAGATCCCCATCCCGGGGCTGGAACTGCTCCCTTGGATCCCATTCCAGATCCCCATCCCGGGGCTGGAACTGCCCCCTTGGATCCCATTCCAGATCCCCATCCCGGGGCTGGAACTGCTCCCTTGGATCCCATTCCAGATCCCCATCCCAGGGCTGGAACTGCTCCCTTGGATCCCATTCCAGATCCCCATCCCGGGGCTGGAAAACCTCCCTTGGATCCCATTCCAGATCCCCATTCCGGGGCTGGAAAACCTCCCTTGGATCCCATTCCAGATCCCCATCCCGGGGCTGGAACACCTCCCTTGGATCGCATTCCAGATCCCGGGACTGGAACACCTCCTGCATCCCTTGGGAATGAGGAACTCTCCCAAGTTCCCAAATCTGGGAGAGGCACATTCACACACACAGCTCCATCCTTCCATCTCCAGGGATCACCATTCCAGAGGGTGAACCCCTCACTCCAGGGATCTCCCTAAAGCCCAAACCCAGCCAGACCTGGCCCCGCTGCTCCTGATCCCAGGAATGTCACCTCCCTGTCCCCATTCCATGGCCAAACCCTTCCCAAGGAGCTGAGGGGAGGGAGCTGTGTCTGCGGGGAGTTTTATCTCCTTCCTGAGCCAGCCAGTCCTGCTGCCTGCCGTGGTTTTTTCCAGCAGCTGGCTTTGGCACCGGGAATCTGCTCCTCCTCGCCAGGTGTCAGCAGAAATCCCGGCCCGGCGCGGTTTCCCGCTCCGCCGTTCTCCCGGGATTGGCTTTTGGGGGTTATGGGGGGGGGGGTGTGATTTAATTAGAGATCCTAACGAATGTGGAGGGGACCGGTAGGACCTGCTGCCCACGGGTGTGACGAGCTGAGCCTCAGCCAGGACATTCCCACCTCCTCCCAATCCCTCGGCTTGGCGCTTCCCCGCCGGCGGATCCCTCGCTCTGCCTGCGCTCCCTCCCTGCTGCCTCTGCTCCTCCGCTGCCAAATCCCATTTGTTCTCCTCCTCCTCCTCCTCCTCCTCCTCCTGCTGCTGCCCTGGGAGCAGCCATCCCGATCCCGATCCCAATCCCGCTCCCGATCCCGCTTGCTGACGCTGACCCCATCTTCTTCTTTCCAGCCCCCGTCACGGCTGCCAGGGACGCCCGAGCCTGGAGCGGCCCTTAGGCTGCGGGGTAAGTCCCGTTTTTTTGCTCAATATATTGCACGTTTTTTCAAAGTTTCTTTTTTGTTTCCTCTTTGAGCCCTTTTTTTCCCTGCCCCCCTAAAAGGGTCTTTTGAAAACTTGGAAAACTTTGAAAAACCGCACAGTATATTCAGAAAAAAGGGACTTACCGGGAGCGGCACGTGGCAAAGGGGGGCTGTGCTGCATGCGGGGATAAATTCGGGATGTTCCCTGCTCCAGAGGGTCTGCTGGGAGGAACGTGGATGGATCCTGACCTCCCCTTTGTCCCTCCCCAGGCCAGCAGCAGCTGACGGTGCAGAACGTGTCCGGCAACAACGTGACCATCAGCGGGCTGAGCCCCACCCAGATCCAGCTGCAGATGGAGCAGGCGCTGTCCGGGGAGGTCCAGCCGGGAGAGAAGAGGAGGAGGATGGCCTGCACCTGCCCCAACTGCAAGGACGGCGACAAGCGGTCAGTTCAGAACCTGGGAAGGGCTCGTTCCGCTTGGATCTGCCTCTTCTGGGAGTGGTTTATCCCGCTTGGATCCGCCTCTTCTGCGAGTGGCTTATCCTGCTTGGATCCGCCTCTTCTGGGAGTGGTTTATCCTGTTTGGATCCGCCTCTTCTGGGAGTGGCTTATCCTGTTTGGATCCACCTCTTCTGGGAGTGGCTTATCCTGCTTGGATCCACCTCTTCTGGGAGTGGTTTATCCTGTTGGATCTGCCTCTACTGAGAGTGGCTTATCCTGCTTGGATCTGCCTCTTTTGGGAGTGGCTTATCCTGCTTGGATCCACCTCTTCCAGCTGTGTCTCATCCCTCTGGATCCGCCTCTCCCACAATAACCCAGAGTGGTTTATCCTGCTTGGATCCGCCTCTCCTGGGAGTGGTTTATCCTGCTGGATCTGCCTCTTCTGGGAGTGGCTTATCCTGCTTGGATCCACCTCTTCTGGGAGTGGTTTATCCCACTTGGATCCACCTCTTCTGGGAGTGGTTTATCCCACTTGGATCTGCCTCTCCTGGGTTATCCCAGTGTGGTTTATCCTGCTTGGATCTGCCTCTCCTGGGCGTGGCTTGTCCTGCTTGGATCCACCTCTCCCAGTGTAACCTGGAGTGGTTTATCCCGCTTGGATCCTCCTCTTCTGGGAGTGGCTTATCCTGCTTGGATCCACCTCTCCTGGGAGTGGTTTATCCCACTTGGATCCACCTCTCCTGGGCGTGGCTTGTCCTGCTTGGATCCGCCTCTCCCAGTGTAACCTGGAGTGGTTTATCCTGCTGGATCTGCCTCTTTTGGGAGTGGTTTATCCCACTTGGATCCACCTCTCCTGGGTTATCTCAGGGTGGTTTATCCTGCTTGGATCCGCCTCTCCTGGGCATGGTTTATCCCTCTGGCTCCGCCTCTCCTGGGCATGGTTTATCCCTCTGGCTCCGCCTCTCCTGGGCGTGGTTTATCCCTCTGGCTCCACCTCTCCCGGGCTGACCCCGCCTTTCCCCTTAGGCCGGGCGATCCCGGGAAGAAGAAGCACATCTGCCACATCCCCGAGTGCGGCCGGACGTTCCGGAAGACGTCGCTGCTGCGGGCACACGTGCGGCTGCACACGGGCGAGAGGCCCTTCGTGTGCAACTGGGTGTTCTGCGGCAAGCGCTTCACGCGCTCCGACGAGCTGCAGCGGCACGCGCGCACACACACAGGTCTGGGGTCCCCCTGGATACCCCCTGTTCCCTGGGGAGAACCCAAAACAGGTCTGGGGTGTCCCTGGATACCCCCTGTTCCCTGGGGAGAACCCAAAACAGGTCTGGGATACCCCTGGATACCCCCTGTTCCCTGGGGAGAACCCAAAACAGGTCTGGGATATCCCTGGGAAATTCTGGGGACACAGGGATTTGGGGTCACAGGGATTTGGGGACAGGGGGATTTGGGGTCACAGGGATTTGGGGTCACAAGGATTTGGGGACAGGGATTTGGGGACACACATATTTGGGCACAGGGATTTGGGCACAGGGATTTGGGCACACAGGGATTTGGGCACACAGGGATTTGGGCACACAGGGATTTTGGCACACAGGGATTTGGGCACAGGGATTTGGGCACACAGGGATTTTGGGGATGGCACATCCCCGAGGCTTTGCCAAACCCCCTGAGCCCGTCCCCTCTCCCGCAGGTGACAAACGCTTCGAGTGCGCGCAGTGCCAGAAACGCTTCATGCGCTCCGACCACCTGACCAAGCACTACAAAACCCACCTGGTCACCAAGAACTTGTAGGATCGGGACAGAGAGAGAGAGAGAAATTCCCTCCCATCCCAAATCCTGGATCCCAGGAGGGACCTCGGGGACCTCCCCACCCTCCTGACCGTGCACAGCACCCCCAAAAAAAATGGGGTGGGGGGTCCCTGTGACCCCCACAGGCTCAGGGGGGGTGACCCAGAGCCCCCCCAGAGCCCCCCAGGATGTGGGGCAGGAGAAGGGGACGCCCAAGAGAGGCTCCACAGCACATTCCTACTTTATATTTAAAGTCTATAAATAGCTATAAATATCTATATAACCCCTTTGGAAAAAAAAATCCCTTTTTTTCTATGGAGATCGTTGCCTTACACTCCCCCTCTCCCAGATCCCGACCCCGTGGATCATGAGTGCTTTTTTTAAAATCTATTTAATCCCCTGGATTTATCTCCCAAAACCCAATTTTTTATTTTTTTTCCCCCCCCCACCCTCGCTCTCAATTTTTATTTCTGAGCAACTTTGGCGTTTTCCCCTTTTTTTTTTTAAATTTTGGGACTTCATCCCTATTTTTTTTTGTTGTTTTTTTTGTGTGGGAGTTGTGTTTTTTCCATGTTTTTTTTTCCTGTTTATTTTTTTCCTCCATTTTTTTTTCCCATTTCATTTCCTTTTGTTTTTATTTTTTTGGGGGTTTCTTCATTATTTTTTTTTTTTTAAATTTCATGACTTCACCCCCTTTTTTCCTATTTTTCCCCCCCCTCCCTTTTTTCCTGCCCAGTGTGTGCAGATCCCCCGTGTACAGTGTACATTGTATCATAGATTATATTGCTTTGGAGCTTTTAAATTAAACAAAATCCACTTTATTTTTTAGTTGTTGTTCCTGCCCGAGGGCGTTTTCCCTGGATTATGTGATGGATTTGTTCCCAGTTTTCTGAGCTGTACCCGGAGGCAGCCGGGAGCTTTTCCTTGCTAAATAAATTTAGTCACCAGAGGCAAATCCTGGCTCCTTCCCTCTCTTGTTTTTTCCTTTATTTTTCCCCGGGAATGTTGTGGAAAAGCGGGATTTGATGGATGGGAATGCCCAAAATGGACGGAATTTGGAGTTATTGGAGGGAAAATCGATGCTCTGCTGTTGGTGTGAGGTTTGTTCCCAAATCCTGGCCCTTGTCACAGGTCACGGCATCTCAAATGTCCCCAGAACCTGTCCCCAAATCCTGGCCCTTGTCACAGCATCCCAAATGTCCCCAAATCCCTGTCCTTGTCACAGGTCACAGCATCCCAAATGTCCCCAAATCCCTGTCCCCAAATCCCTGTCCTTGTCACAGGTCACAGCATCCCAAATGTCCCCAAATCCCTGTCCCCAAATCCTGGCCCTTGTCACAGCATCTCAAATGTCCCCAAATCCCTGTCCCCAAATCCCTGTCCCCAAATCCTGGCCCCAAATCCTGTCCCCAAATCCCTGTCCCTTGTCCCAATATCCCAAATGTCCCCAAATCCCTATCCCTTATCCCAGTATCCCAGATTTCCCATTCCCACTTTCCTCGTGCTCAGTGTCCCCAAATCCCTGTCCCCACCATGTCCCAGCACCTTGTCACCACCTCCCGAGGTCCAAATGTCCCCAAATCCTGTCCCTTGTCACAGCATCCCAAATGTCCCTGTCCCCAAATGTCCCTGTCCCCAAATCCCTGTGTCCCCCACATTTCCCCCGTGTCCCCCTCCCGAGGTCGCTGCCCCTTTAAGAACCCCCCATGTACCCGCCAAAACCCTAACACTACTTCCGGGTTTTTTAACCACGCCCCTTCCTCCTCCACCAATGGGCTTCTAGCTCTCGGGGAGGCGCGCGCGTTCTGCCGCTCCCTATTGGCTGTCGGGGGAGGGGGAGTGGGCGTGTCGGTGTTTGACCACGCCCCCGCGCGGTGGGGCCGCCATGGAGCTGGGGGAGCTGCGGAAGCGCTACCGGGGGGACACCGAGGTGGGACCGGGGGGACCCGCGGGGACCCGGCACGGGGGGAGCCCCCGGGATGTCCCCAAGGCCCGGGGACCCCCCTGGATGTCCCCAAGGCCTGGGGACCCCCCTGGATGTCCCCAAGGCCTGGGGACCCCTCAGGATGTCCCCAAGGCCTGGGGACCCCCCTGGATGTCCCCAAGGCTCGGGGACCCCCCTGGATGTCCCCAAGGCCTGGGGACCCCTCAGGATGTCCCCAAGGTCTGGGGACCCCCCTGGATGTCCCCAAGGCCTGGGGACCCCCCTGGATGTCCCCAAGGTCTGGGGACCCCTCCCCAGCCAGGGTGACACTCCTGGATG